ATATTAATTCTACTTCTTCAAAAATTTTGTGCAAACTGTGCATTCAGAACTAACACAATATGTTTAACAATAGCAAAGGAATTTTTTAGCACTAAATGGAAGTCAGTTTCCTACAGAAAACACACATTTTCTCAACAAAACATGACATAGAGCATATGTATTTAACCTTGTTGAAATGGTTTTTGTCATGAAAGCTACAAAGTAAATAAAGCCCAAAGGGAAAAATTGATCTGCTTTAAAAGTGATGCTGGAAGATTGCACTGCAGACTGCAAGAACAAACAAACTAGACTAGTCAGGCCTAAATTATCTCTGGCAGCAAAAGTGGTGGAACTGAGCCTCTCCTATTTTGGCATATCATGAGAAGACAAGAGTCTCTGGAAAAGACAAATAATGCTGTGAAATGTTGAAGGCAACAAGAAAAAAGGAAGACCGAATATGAGATAGGTTGATTCCCTGACAATAGCAACAGATTTGCATTTGCAAGAGCTGCGTACAACAGTTGAAGACAGGCCATTTTGGATTATCTCTCATTCATAGAATTGCCATAAGTCAGATACAACCTGACAGCACATAACAACACTATTGTATGTAAATAATTACAAAAAGCAGTAAAGTGGTCTTTATTGATAAGCATCTCAAAACTATATATTTAACCTGTGTATGCTTAATTGTATGTGTTATATATTGACTGCATGCTTTTAATTTTTTTAAAAGGAAAGGGAGACAGCTTTGTCACTACAAAATACATGAAAAACCCGTGATATGAAGAGTTCTCATTTCTCCCACTGTGTTATGGCCCTGATAGATGCCTGAGGAACGTGATAAATTGTTCAGTACTTTGTACACTTAAAAGTATACTAAACACACAGAACAGCCCACTACATTAGTAAAATGTAAGTGCGATCTACACAACGAGGCTTATTTTCAAATCGGCAATATCCTCGTAATTCTCTTCATCAACCTGAACTCACTTCCAGAAGTGGGTTCACCATTCGGACCGATTTTTTGCCAGACTAGGACAAAAATCAAACTTCAAACAGATCTTGACAAGCACACATCTTCTGAAGAGCTGACTTGATTTTTCAGTTTACCTGGCATCCTCCCAATTGATTCAGAACAATGTGAGGACACGGAAGAGGGTAGCCCTGACCCAGGGACGGGGCTGGAACCACAAGCCCTCTTTCCTCCTCCTCCTCCTCCTCCATTCACTCGCACGCGGACACCATAAAAAAGGGGGACACAACACTCTACCTTCCATAGCGTCCTACTCGACAAACGTCCCTTGGCTTCGCATCAAACTCTGCCCCACCGCCCCGGGTTGAACTCCTGCAGAGGCTCCTGTTCAGTCCAACTCCACGCCAGCCCCGTCACAATCTCGCCGCACTCCGAAAGGCCACCGCTCACATCCCCCCCCCTTTTTCCACTTCTTCGCCCGCACATGCGTACAAAAAGCCGCGCGCTGTATTTCACGCAACCACTTAACACATAGAGGTAAGGTTTTAGCCTCGCAACCGAAAACTAAAGACAAGGGTAAGTGCTGGTTCGTTTTCGCAGTACTCCGTCGGAAGTGACGTTATTGTAGAGGAAATGGTAATAAAAAACACCCTGTGAATTCGGGATACTTGAAAAATAGGAATTTCTGGGCTTCCTAACTTTTCTTATTTCACATGAGAAGTGTTACGTCAAAAAAGGATATACATTTATTTAGTTGCCGTGGCGAAGAAGATGCAAATACAGTACATCGCAAACCAGGATCAAGCAACTTAAAAAACACCAATGCTCACGTATGTAAACTTCTTAACTTGCTTAATATGCTGGCCATTAATTATCCACTCATTTACCTGAGTGCATCTATTAAGAAACAACTTGATTTTCCTGAAACCGATTGTTATATTTACAATAGCCCATGAGAAGATGCAAGTCATTTAAGACCTATTTTAGAGAGCAACTATAAGTACAGTGTTGTTTGCATGTAGCAACAAATGAGTCTTAGTCTCTGTCAATTATGGTACGTAAAATTCTAATGCTAAGCACTTCTTGATCTATTGAAAGTCAGCCCTCAACACAAGCTAAAATTAAATAATGAGGGGGCTAGTATATAGCCTTGGTGATCCCCTCTAATGGTAATAAGATTTGTCAAATTACCCTAGGCCACACTTTATTTGAATTTTAGTTTGTTGGTAAAACACATCTTTTTATCAATCAAAGGAAGATATAGTTTGACCTATAAGTTAGTCCTTGGAATTGAGTCAAAGCCGATTTCAAGTCTATAAAGGGTACAAACAACCCATTCCCTTAGCACTCATATATTTCTCTGCTAGAAGGGTAAGTACTAAAGACTGGTCAAGGGTTGAGCTGCCTTTCCTGAAACCTGCCTGTTCATTCCCAAAAATACTCTCTTCTTTAATTCAGGTGCCAACTTTAATATTCAAATAACTGACCAATAATTTCCCCATTACTGACAATAAATGAGTAAGTCTATAATTTGAAGTTTCCTCTCTGTTGCCTTTTTAAAAGACTGGGATCACTGTAGTCTCTAACCATGCTACAGGAAACTTGGCATTGCATATTATTCTCTATTCACTGAAACACTATTGGCAGAAATCCTGTTACATAATATATTCCAGTGAAAGCGTGATAATGTCATCAGCAATTTTCTGTGATTAACATCTTCCTGCCCTTTAGCTTTTCTGACTCCAATGTAATTCTTTTCACTACATGGAAGCTGCAGGATGGAAGGAGGAAGCCTTTAATTATTGAAAGTCTTCCCCTAGCAGTAATGTCAAATGACAGTGGTAAATTTTGTTATTTAAATACTTTCTCTTTCCATTCAGTGGCTTCCTTGACTTCCATGCAATGAAAAGATTACAGAAGAGTCAGAAAAGCTACAGGACATGTTTTTATTTTTCTTGTGATAAACAAGAAAGATAAAAACATGTCCTGTAGCTTTTCTCTCTGGTCAAGACATTATTTTAATTAAGTTCGTTAAATGGAAAGTTGGCATTGCATGTCTTTTTCTTCAGCCAAATCTCTGGATTTTGATGTTACATTATTCTTTTCTAGTTATGTGTAAATGGCAAATTGATTTAGTTTGGCCCACTTATACATTGCCTGGGATGCTTTCCTACAATATTATTTCTTGGCCAGAACAGATCCTAGAAAGAGAATTATTTGACTGTTTTACAGCTAAATTAATTGTTCATACCAATAATTGACTGGTGATCTTATCTGATTTGAAAACCAACAGTAAAGAATAATGTGGTGCCTGAGGATAATAATGTTAACTTTATTAGGGAAATGTCATTTTACTGCATTGGAACCGATGTGTCCTACAAAGCTTTGAGTTTTAGTACCTCTTACAGTGTATCAGATAATCCTTGGCATCCAATGTGCTATGTACAAAATTAAAAGCTCCCTTCACCTCCAAATCAGTTCTCACCCTTTTGCCAATGCCATTCTGTAAATAAAATATCTTTTTTTTTCAATGCTGAAAAAAGTTCTGTGGGGCTTGTATTGATTTTTGTATGCAGCTGGATGGGCGTGGGGAAAGACTTTAATATTGGAAAATCACCTCCAATAGTGCCACTGCACAAGAGAATTTCAGCCAGTGAGTCTTAACAAAGAAGACGTCTTTCAGCATGTGCAGAGCGCTTTTGTCATTTCATCAGAAAGCCATTAAAGTTTTCACCATTATCAAATCTTTAAAATAATGGCAGAGTATCTACATTAATTTTCTGGATTAGCATTCAGTTCTAGACAGGCTTGGACCTGGTCTTTCATGTTTGAAAATAAGCTGCAGAACTAGGAGATCCCCACATTTTCATGTGTACAGGTCACTCAACTGGTTACAGGTGAAGAAAGAAAAACAAACAAGCTGAGATACTGATTTTATTAAAAATGGAACAGATCCATTTCCACTACTGACTTTTAAAATACTATGTGAATAAATAATTTCTCCCTAAGGTTATAAGTTTACATCTCAAATCACCAGTAGGATTTTGTAATCATTTGAACTTTGGACATTTTAAAGAGTTGTGTTACATTTTCCAAAACAGTAATCATAATTTTATGTTAACATGCATGCAACCTGATATTTCTGTTAGAGTCTTGTTTGCAACCTCAAATGCTGACTATAGTTTGTATGACTGGAAAGGGTTTTTCTAGGCTGGGGGTTATCTATCCAGAACTAACCAATTGCTCCTTCAAGCTTTTGATTTCAAAGAGAGCCCCGCCTCTCTGAGTGCTTTTTTCTCATAGCACAGTGGTTAAACCGCTGTACTGCAGCCAAAACTGTGCTCACGACCTGGGGTTCAATCCCAGGTAGCCGGCTCAAGGTTGACTCAGCCTTCTATCCTTCCGAGGTTGGTAAAATGAGTACCCAGCTCGCTGGGGGAGGGGGGCAATGTGTAGCCTGCATAATTAACTTGTAAGCCGCCCAAAGAGTGCTTGAAGTGTTATGGGGCGGTATATAAACAGCGCGCTTTGCTTTACTTTGCTTTATTGGAAGCAATCTGTTTATTTGCTGTTGAGCTCTTTAACTGGTTTCTAAGTATGTGTGCAGTAAAGAAACAGTATGCATAAGTCTGTAATTTCAAGCAACTTAAATATTTTTACTCTTTCTATTACAAATGCCTTGAAGTGAGTTATTGAGACTTTCAGTGCTGGTTAATCAGAAAGGATGGACTCTGGGGAACTTGTAGCTACAGTATTTTACTCTGTGGGTCTCTGTACTTATACTATGTTGCAAAAAGTAAATTTACCAAAAATTCAAAACTCTGACACAATTTCTTTATTGAAATAAATGTGTGTTTCAGAGTGCACATTAAAGTGCTTCTTTCTGTGATGTAAGAGTGCCGTTTGAGGTCAAACCCACTTCCACCGCTGAAATGTGATCCTTTACAATGGCCTGTACCACCTCCTGGCTCAGGTAGCCCAATTGAAGGTAAAGGTAAAGGTTCCCCTTGACAATTTTTGTCCAGTCATATTCGCCTCTAGGGGGTGGTGCTCATCCCCGTTTCCAAGCCATAGAGCCAGCATTTGTCCAAAGACAATCTTCCGTGGTCACGTGGCCAGTGCGACTTAGACACGGAATGCTGTTACCTTCCCACTGAGGTGGTACCTATTTATCTACTTGCATTTGCATGCTTTCGAACCGCTAGGTTGGCGGGAGCTGGGACAAGCGACGGGAGCTCACTCCATCGCGTGGATTCGATCTTACGACTGCTTGGTCTTCTGACCCTGCAGCACAGGCGTCTGTGGTTTAGCCCGCAGTGCCACCATGTCCCTTAGCCCAATTGAAAGCTGTCCTCTATATGCTGTAAAGCTGTAAATTCTCAAAATATAATCAAGATATAATCAACAACTCTTTTTCTTTTTAAAATGAATGATGTGTCGAGGGCTCTTAAGTTTCAGAATGTCAAGAAACTACAACTGAAGGACCAGCCATAAAAAAGAGATCGCCCATACCACATTTAACAAAATACTATGCAGCATTTGAAGCTATTACACTTGTACAAGTGAATAAAGACCCTTGACTGGACTCAAATGGAGGCAGTGCTGCTAACTTCTACTTAGGCTATAACTACACTGTCAAATACAGCATGGTTTGCTCCTCATAAATGGGTGAATTCAAAGTATTTTTTACTGACCACATGACAGAAAGGCTGATTCAAATCCGTCCATTTTTGCTCCCAAAGCAGCTTCTCTGCTGCTGGAGGGAGGCATTCTACTTTTTTTAAGCTAGAACAATTTGAATTTCCTTTTTTCCCCTATGCAGTTAGTTGTGATATGTTTTTATAAAGATGGGGTGGCATGTCTTTAGGTGATGTTTTGGTGATGTGGGTGAGATGTCCAGGACCCAGGAAACATGACATCCTCTCCATTCATCATCCTCCAATTTCTTTTATTATTTTTAAAGGTCTTGTACATAAGGGCTTAGCACTAGATTTATGGAAGATGATTTTAGTAAAACAAAGGATTACTCTGTTATCTAGAAGAATATTAAAATATGAGAAGAATATTGGGCAAAAAATGGACTATGCAGCCTTATAAATCAGTATCTGCCAAGTCTAAGGAAATTGTATTAAAAACAGTTCATAAATGGCAATTGCACCCAATAAAACTTAATAAAATTAATAAAGATATACCAGATTGGTGTTAGAGAAATCATGGTTCAGAAAAAGCATAGGAAAATATGTTGATCTCCTGTTTGAAGGTTAAATAATTCTGGCATGATATTACAGAGTGGATGGGTAAGTTAACACAGCAAGAGATGGGTCCAAAAGAAACTTTTGCTATTTTCAATATTCCACTGGAGAGAATGGGAATTTATCTAATAAAGAGTAGGTGGCAGGTCTTGTAGTTGCTGTGAGAACTGAAGTCACCCAAGCTTGGAAAAATACTCAAGAACTTCCTTTTCAAAGACATTTGCATAGGACATGGGCAAAAGCACTGATGGAAAAACTGACTACTCTCATAAACAATTTCATAAGCATTTGGTTTTCTTT